AGTATCCTGACACACGACACACGCTGTACATCGAAGCACTTATGGTCCGCGAGATAGGATCGGACAATACGGCCCTTCGGACAGTATTGGCCTTTATTGCCGGTCTGCCAGCGGGGAAACCCGCCATGACTTTCGGATATCTACCAGCGAAACAGGGTCGGCTGCAGATGACTGCTGCGAGCCGACTTTCGCCTAAGGTGCACTTGGCTCTTCAGTACCTCATACGCAACTACTTTCGTATTGAAAACGTTGTTGCTGTACGACTTGCCAAGAGCCTGACGAAGTTGCCTGCTGCACCCTATGCAGACAGCTGTACACTAGTGCACTATGATAATGATGTGACCCCTGGTTTTCATTACTATGAAGCTGATGGCACTGCCTTGAACATCTACGACATCACAGGATCTACACACTCACGCATCATCCAGTGTCTTAAATCCAGGAAGCCGCCTGCTGGATTTGACCGAGACCTCACTAAGTTTGAGGAACTCGCTGATGGTCCACCACCAAGCGAGTCACCTCCAGCAGCTGCTCCTGAGCAGCCTCCTGCGGAGAACGATGGTCGGCTCCCGACCATCATAGAGGAAACAGAAGAAGATCTGGATGCCTTTGTCTTGAAGTCGTGGTATGCTGAACTGATGGATGACAGAACACTCCTTGAAGCTGACACAGAAGAAGTCATGCATACAGTTCCCACATACATGACAGACACACAGTGTGTGTTAGTCTCTACGACCTGTGAAGATGTGCAAGGCCACTTGCCGGAGCGGGGTCACCCGCCAGGATACGACATGGACACTTCTTACTACGTTCCTTTATGCTCCACGGATCCGGATAGCAAATATGATCTGGACTCCGATGAGCACGGGAAGTACATCGAGCTCTGCTTCACAGCAGACATGTCCAAAGTCGTCCTGTCCGAGCAGCAACGCCGATTGTTGGATGACAGCAGCGTCACAACTATGCGAGTATACGTTAGTGCTGCCTCCAAACGTGCCGTGGTCGTCAAGGAAGACGATCTACTCACGAAGGCCGACATCCAAGCAAATCCGGTCAAAGTTTCCAAAGCCCTTTACACAGAATTGAAGACTTGGCTTGACAATAAATGCTTTCAGGTGACTGACTTGAGCAAAGCGTCTAACATCATGACTTCACGCTACGTATACAAATGGAAGTTTGTCAAGAACGAAAAGGGCGAAATGGAAAGGACGATCAGGTTGCGCTTGGTACTCCGTGGCTTCATGGACCTTGAAGCCTTTGATGTCGAAACCTTCTCTGGCACGGCAAGGAGGTCAAGCCAGAGACTGCTCGCAAGTTCTGCTGCATGCAACAAAGCTTGGATCATCGCTTCCCTGGACATCAACATGGCTTTCTTGAAGGGACTGACCTATAGCGAGCTCGCCGCGGCAACGGGCGAGAAAGAGCGTGTGGTGTGCTTCACACTACCTCCTGGGTCAGCAGCTGTCCTTCGCACACTGCCAGGCTTTGAGTCATATGACGAATCAAAGCATTGTCTTCGGTGTCTGAAGCCGGGGACGGGCACGAAGGATGCTCCCAGGGCATTCTCGTTGAAGCTCAGGTCCATCACTAGGAGCTTTGGGCTACAGCCTACTTCATACGACGAAGAGTTCGAGATGAGCCCAAACCTCTTGACAGCCAAACACGTTGATGACATCAATATGACTGGGAAGGAAGATGCTATTGACAAGTATGTCAAGTGTGTTGAAGATACGTTTGGAAAGTGCAAACTGAACAAGCACACATACACAAACTGTGCCGTTCGGTATAACAAGACCGATGATGGGAGCGTCACTCTTGATCAGGACGAATACATCAAACAGCTTCGTCCTATCACACATCCAGAACTCACAGGAGCTGATCCTGAGAGCAAAGCGACAAATACGATTTCTGATATGTTCGTCAGTCTTCGTGGCGCTCTAGCCTATGCGTTGATCACGCAGGTATGGCTGATGGTCTATGTTGTCTCACTACAACGTATCCAGGAACCGACAAACATCCAGGTACGACGACTAAACGCGGTTACCAGGAAACTACAGGCAGGTCCGAAGAAGATCGTGTATCAAGCTATGACCCCAACAGGAGAAGTCGACCTGCATAGCGATTCTGGCTATCGCCGTCTCAATGGAGATGAAGACGACGAAGTCAAAGGCTATGGTATCCGCGGGGCTAACCTGCTGAGGCGTGGCCACGCGCAAGCGGGGAAACCCGTCGTGCACCTGGTGGACGCATACTGCAAGTCTCATCGACTGCAGGTGCGTTCGAGCTACTCTGCGGAAACACTGGCAGCAGCCCACAACTTGGAAGACTGCTACCCGACCATTGTAACGCTCCACGAGCTACACTCGGGACCATTGACCCCCACACAGTTAAAGAACATATTGGAAATGGGTGGTCTATGTATCAAAGTCACTCTGACTATTGATGCCGAGTCTGTCTTCAAGTCTTTGTCTAGCAAAGATCTGAAGAAGCCCACAGAATGTACTCTGCTTGGGCACATTAGCTGGATCCGCCAGATGATGGAGCGCGGAATCGTTGAAAGCGTTCAATGGTGTGACACGCGGGATATGACTGCCGATGGTCATACCAAAGGTAGTATTGACCGCGCGTTGCTCCTACAAGTAATGGCCGGCCAGCAATCCTTCAAGCACGAGCTGAAGAAACATGCACCGTATAGGGCGGGCAGGTCGTCTCAGGACGGCCCTGCCTCCCGAGCTAGCGGGGAAACCCGCGTGCAGGTGCGCTCTAGTAGCGAGGAAACTCGCCGGTAGCGAGGCTACTCGCGCGCCCTTGCCTTGTAGGCAGCCGCTGCTGCTCAGCACTGTTTTTCCGCGTAATGTAGAAGTGCGGTGCCTGCTCGTCTCCTCCCCCTCCGACTTTAAACGGAGAAGGTTAAAGGCGAGGTATCAATCGAGCATGTACCGCTGCCGTGCCTGGCTCAAGCCGGGCCCGGCCAAATATATGACTGTGCCTCACCGAGGCGCACGACTGGTATCTGAGATCGGAAAATACCTTTTCCATTGAAGATGCCTCTTCTATCCTTTACTCCAGATCCCATGCTTCGTCTCGCTCTCTTGCTCATGCGATATGAGCCAAAGCCTGGGATATGGCAACGCTTGAAGCGTAACGCATACCTAAGCTTACCAGCATGTTTTCGACTGGGCCGGGCTTCCAGGGGATAGGTTCGGGGAGGGGGAATCGGAGGGTGAAAGACGGGGTCTGCAACAGGGGGTCTTCAATGGGGACTGAATGGCCCATGTATGCTCAATGTATCGCTCATGTATGCGATCGGGAACGATTGGCATCCAATGTTGGTGGTCATGGAGGGCCAGTCGTTCGTGCCCGCGCGTTGCCTGCACGGGTGCACGCGCCGTCCATCCAGTATCGTTCATGCGTGCGGGCGTTCTTGCATACTGCGCGTGGGGCTGCGAAGTGCAGTGCAAATATGTATTGGTAGTGCGATTGATGATCGCGCGTGTTCCCGAACGACGAGCTATCGACCCCCAAGACAGATTCGGAATGGCTCCCGCGATTCTCCCAAAATGTGAATCCAGATTTCCCCTTTTTCGCAATGTGAATTCACATTTTCCTTTTTCTCAACATGTGAATTCACATTCTGGCCCCTTTCATACATTTTCCTACACGACAGTCCAAACTGTGAATTCACATGTTCCTTTTCGCAAAATGTAAATTTGCATGTTCTTTTTTCCCAAATGTGAATTCACATTTTGCTTTTCCCGACAATGTGAATTCATATTTCGCCCTGGCTTCAAGATCCCCCGAACTCAGACGCGGTGTTCCGCATGTCTGATTTGTTGGGCAGATTTTGACACTCACGTCAACGCTTTTGTTTGTTTCTACCTTGTCTTTTTGCGCCCTCAGCGCACGTTGCCTTCGTCGCCTTTCCCGGGCCCCCCGCCCCCTTGCTTCGTTTCCCCTCAAGTCTCGCGCATGGGTGCAGGCGGGAAGCTTCAATTGGCACCCCCGCCGAGCACAGCAATCGACGATGTATCGCCCACTCATGGCCCAGAAACACACCATTGTCGGGACCCTGCGGCCGTCCCCCACTTTCACCCTCCAAGGGATACGTTTCACGCGCCTATGAACCCCGAGGGGTCGGCAGATTTTTTGGAGATTCTCAACGCGCGACGACTTGTTGAACGTTCGCTTGATTTTTTCATGCGCGTTCCTTGTTTTGGCGACTCGCGGCGGGGTTTCCTTTTGGAGATTGGAGATTCCGGATAAGTGTCGCAGGGATATTTGTTAGAGATTGTGAGGCGGTCGCGTTTGCCATGATCAAACCAGTCGAAGTGTAGGTGGGCGGTTGGCGCCCTCGCGCTCGGCCCACTCCTGGCCCATCGCGGTTCGGGAACGTTCACGGGGTCAGTGAGAGAAGCAGCCTTCGCTGAATTGGTGCTCGGCGGGATAGCGCTTTGAATTCGTACGGGGGCGCATTGTCTCAAAAGTCAAGTGTCCTTCTGGGAGGCGGGGGGTCCACACTGAATCTGAAAAAAAAGGCGTCGGCTGTTCCCGAGGTTCCACGCCCGCCTGAATCACAGCGCCGCGGCGCGCATTACGATCCAGAACTGATTCGTCAACCGGTTCTCTTCTACCCCCCGTGTTTCTGACGTTTCAATTTCGGGGGGCCTCGTGTGTCCTGTGAATACCAGTTCCTTCTAGGTGCCCGACGTATGTCCGACGCGTTTTCGACACGGGCTCGTCGCGGATTCGATATGTATTCGAATAGTCGACGCGGATTCGACGCAGATCGCGGCGAGATGGGACAGACTCCCAAAGCTCGAGCTAAACAGTGGGTTTCAATTTCGTTTTGGTTTCGTTGTCTTTCGTCGTGTTTTCTTTCTGCTCTTCCTACAAAACGCAATCAAAACGAACATTGGCCACCAAATCGCCAACACACCGTTTTGCTCGCGTCCAGCAAGGCTCCCCGATGATGCAGCAGAATGTTTCGCCCGGCCCCCGAGGTACGAGCTCGACGGCGAGAGTCACCACATGTCGAGGCCGGACGTGCTGAGAGACCGCCTGAGGCGGAGCGGCCATGGCGGCGCTTGAGCGGCCCAGCGCGCTCGTGCCGGGACGGGACGGGAGCGCGTGGCGGGGTCAGGGTAGAGTCGAGGAATGAGAA